CTGCGGGCCCGGCTGGGGGCAGGCCCGCGGCTGAGGCGGCTGTGCCCGGGAAGCACGGGCGGGAGCGTCTGGCTGCAGTGAAATTCCAGAATTCCAGCTTCATTGGGGAGGCAGCGGAGCACGAGGTCGTCCCGGTGGTGAGATGGTTCGTGGAGACGGTGAAGCAGGGAGAAGCAGGTACGGGCAGGAGCACAGGGAAGAAAAGGCGGGGGAGCGGAGGAGGGAGAGAGCAGGGCCAGGACCCTCCAAGCGAGCCCATGATCCCTCCAAGAAACCCAAAGCAAAAATGGCTCCTGATGTGTCACAGTGAGCTGCTTTTATGTGCTAAGGTTTCTCCAACAGCTTAATTTCCCGTGCATTCTTCACGGGCATCCAGGCATTTTATTTTCCCCACTGGCAAGTGAGGGGGATCACTCACAGTCCAATCCTGGAGCCTTTCTGCTGGCCTGACTGGCTGCTAGATGTCTCACCTGGGACACGGCTGCCCACATATGTACGGCCCCTATAAAAATGTAACATGTTGAGGCACAAATAAAAATCATCTTGGTCCCTCTCACCATTACATACAGGAGTCAAAGAAAAGCATTGTGTGCACAAAAATGGAGCAGTTCCTGTGCAAGTTTTGAGGACCCAATAGAAATCCCCCAGCAGCTTTGGGCACTCACAGAGCCCTCTCCTTTTCTCTCAGGCAGCATCTGCTCAGCTGAGCTGCTCAAAGCCCATCCTTACATCTGCTTCTCTCTCAGTGCACACACCAGCCATAGAGCAGTCACTGAGTGACAGCAGGTGTCTGTATTTTACATCTCCACATCTTTGATTCTTCCCAAGCCTCTTTGTGTTCCACCTGCACAGTGCTGCAGGAGCTCTGGGAAACACTGTTCATTCTCGAAGGGCACTGTGCTTATGCACAAGAGAAGTCATACAAGTTATAAATTTAGATGTAGGTAATTGAAGGGGGAGGGCAAGGGTTAGAAGGATCAGAGATTAGGAAGAAGGTTGTGTTCTCCCTTTAAGCAATTTCAAGGCATTTTCTGAGATAGATCCAGTGCAGATCTATCTGTTTTTCCTAAGCAGACTGCCCACAACAAAATTAATTCTGCTAATCCATGTATTAGTTGTGGATAAAGACAGGTTTTTGAAAATGTACTTCTCTAAAAAGGTCATTGCTGAACACCATCTGCTAATTTATTTTCACCAAAAATTACCAAAACCACCCCCAAGATTTTTGCTGTCACAGCCAAAGCTCTTAATGCTGCCAGGGACATCAAAGCTGTCCTGCTGGTCCCTGGCACCTGGACCCAAGCCTAAGCAATATTATAAACTTGCTGAACCTTTTATTCATTTACCCCTAGCTAGTGAAGTGTTCCTGCAGACCAGACATTCATTTTACCACCTTGTTTCTTTGGCTGATTCCCAAAGGTTCTCCTGTTCTCTCTGGCTCCCTCAGCAAAAATGTGGAAGCTCAGAGCTGGTGTTTCTGATGTACAGATGCAAGTCAAACAGTTAATGCACAAGCATACTTAACTTTCCAGGCTGCTTTCGTATATCACAAAGAAGCAAAAATAAACAGATAAAAAGACCTGAAAGTTCCCCCCCCCCTTTTTTTTTTTCTTTTTTACTTTTCTATCAGCTTTGCGAGTCCTTATTTAAGATAATATGAAACTCTTAACACATGTCTAAATGCCCTAATGCCAGGAACTTTTGGAGAAGAAATTGACTTTGTTTCATTAGGAGCCCTGTTCTGTTACAATAAAGTGCACAATGTAACAAGACAAGGCTCACAAAAGTGGAGTCTTGTGGATTAGTGTGAAACTAATCTACAAATACCAGAAGTTTATGTCCGAAAAGGAGACAGAGGAGCCCTGTAACTCTATTCAGGCCATGGGGCATTTCCCCTAGGGTCTCAACATTTTTAGAGGATGCAACCTCCTTTTTATCCGAATTTCCC